CCCTTGTTAAGTCTAAAATAAATTACAAATCATATGGCCAACGCTCTTTTTCATATTTTGCCCCATTTGTTTGGAATAGGCTGCCAAAAACTATCAGAGAAGCAGAAAATCTAGAAATTTTAAAGAAGAAACTAAAAGCATTTCTATTTTCATCATATTTCGATTAGACAGAATCCATCTAAGCTGTAGATCGTTGTGGGATTGTATGTGCGTATATGTGCATAATATGTACGTATGTCAATGTGTATACGTATACGCGTGTATGGTGCGTGCGTGAATATGTGTGTGCACGTGTATGTAACACTATGTGCCTTTAAAATTGATTTGTAAATCCATAATATGTGTCAGGTTAAGCGCATAGAGCATTGCATAAGTGGATATGCGCTTTATAAATGCAATCCATTATTGTTATTTTATTAATGAGTGGGCTGGCGGACCTATTTGATGTAGATCTAGATCTGATCTAAGGACACAACATAATGTAAACCAATTTGAAAAAAAAAAAGAAAGAAAGATTGAAAAGTAGCCTGGCCTTATCCGGAAGCTCAAATAGGGTCCTAAAGGCTTAATATTGTTACTTTTTTTAAAAATTCGTTAGAGAATGTAGACAGCTTGTATACATTCTCTAACGTTAGAGAACGTAGACACTTCCTAATTATAATGATTTATATATCTATGGGTTCTTCTGAAACGAAGTAGGCTTGCCCAACAGGCTATTGTTCTTAGTTTTTGGTTAGATCTTATTTAAAAACTATAATGTTGTCACATTTCACGAACTAACCCATTTCGAAAACACCCGTCGTGCCCCTGTGTTTTCCTCTTCTCTGTCGTTAGGCCAACTTGTAAACAGTAGTCTGCACAGTACAGTGATGCCGCATAATTATGAGATACCTTTACCTCCTCATGGGGTTCCTACCCATATTTCAGAAATGTTGAACTCTCCCGTCGAAAGTATGGAGGGCAAATCAGTTAAAGTTGTTGGCAGGTGAGGTAATCTACTGGCCAGTGTCGTCACAGCAACACAACTTTTTCTTGGTAAACAATCGAGACGACACGTAGATCTAGGCTTGTGTATTTGAACGAATCGGTCTTTCTTTTTTTTTTTTTGTACAGCTCATAATAATGTGTAGGTGCCAGGTGGTCTGCTAATCTTCAATTTTACCTTTTTCTACAACAAAGTGGGAAACATGGGGGGTGGGGAGCGTATCAATGAGGCGGCGGGCATTTGATCGGCAGATAAGGTGTGGGGGAAACTAAAAAATGGCGGAAAATTGGAAGCACTGAACGTTAGATCTAGATCTAGATCTAGACTCTAGATCTATAGAACGAAGACACTTCCTTTTTTCCGGACCCGAGTCCGAATAATATTTTTTCATATTAGGACTCGAGTCTGAATAAGAATTTTTTTTATTCGGACTCGAGTCCGAATATGAAAAAATGCATTCGGACTCGAGTCCGAATAACGACAGCCTTTGTCTATCAAGGCTTAGTATTTTGCAACGAAAATGGAGATGGTTTCGGGGTTCGTTTTATTTTTACTTCTGCCCCCGTCTCATGTTCACATTTAATATACTTCTTTTCTAGATCTAGATTCTAGTAGATCTAGTATTTTGCACGCTAAACACGAATATATGGTCTTTATTTTTGCCGCAAATCAATAGTTGTTGAGTTATTGATGTTTGAAAATAGTAAATTTAGCACATGGGGGGTTTCCCACACTATGTAATCTATCATATATTATAATAATAAAGAGATATCATGCAGACCAAACTTTGATTCTGAATGAGACAGTTTTAAATCAAGCTGTTGAAAATTTGTGCACACATATATAATACATCTGATTTGTACATTGACTGTGTAGTATTTAACCAAGCGAGGAAGGAAAAGAAGAACGCTTACCGAGTTACAGTTGGGATATAACAAACACCTAACTTTATAAATAATAGCTAGTTTGTATACATCTTATTTTTATTTGTAGTAGCCTGTACTCAGTTATCTCTGTTTATGATGCGTCACAATTGGTCGTCACCCACGCCCATAACCCTTCACGAGTGTTAAGGAGAAGGACGAGTGGTACCATTCGTAGTTTTCGCTTACATCGCAAGGCTCACCTGCGGGCGCGCAGTGTAAGGGAGAATGACAAATGTCAAATAACTTTGCTTCTTTTCAACCTAAACCATTCAAACTTTCGAAACTGTTTTATGAATATATCTTAAGCAGATATCTGGTGAATAACAGCTTAAAAGAATGCAAAATAGAAGAGTTATAAAGTGAAAACATTTTTTGCCTTTCCTGAAAAATGTGCCTTGCTACCTGCCCAGGACCATTCGTCGTTTTCCCTTACCACGGCAGAATTGTGGCTAGGGTTGGGGCATTAGGATTAGGGTTAGGTCTCTTTTGTACTTTATTCAAGTGTTTGTTGGGGATGGTCGAGTGGTCGCCCGTTACGGAAGTCCTTCCATAATTTTATTTCAGATGTATTCTTCATGAGTTTTTTAGATCTAGATCTTAGAGTTAGAGGCAGGTCTTGTGACTTGGTATCAAAGAAACAAAGAAAATAAAAGGGACTGATTCACTCTCTCTGCACATGATAATGATAATAATATTAAACTTTTAAATATTATTAATTATGACAAGACGAGAGAAAAAGAATTGTGTCAGCTCTTCTGCTAAACATGAATTTCATCCATGGCCTTTTGCATGCTTACTTACACCTCCTTCAGGGCGCTAAACTCAAGACTCTGTTCTCCGGGTAGCCACATCTATTGGCATTTCATGACTAAAAGGAAAGGCACTTTACTCGAATTTTCCTCACTTCACCCAGGTGGGAATGGGTACCCGGCTATAGACAGCGAAAGATCTTGTCAGTTTGTTAGTGTTTGAGC